GTGTGTGTGTGTGTACACGCTTTTAATCCCAGCACTCTGGAGGTGGAGCCCCTCAGGTGGATCTCTGAGTTCAAGGCCAGTCTGGTCTACAGAGTGAGTTCTAGGACAGCCAGGATGACACAGAAAAACCATGTCTCAAAGATAGATGGATGGATGGATGGATGGATGGATGGATGGATGGATGGATGGATGGATGGATGGATGGAGAGATGGAGAGATAGATAGGTTCTTCAAAGGTTGAGACAGCCTCTGCTGGGTGTTTATAGTTTCCAGTCTAAATGTATTCCTCCTCAGGGTTACTGTCTCTCACTGGTAATAAAAGGCTGGGTGCCACACCTTTCAGGGCGCTAATTCCTTGATGAAGTCTTCAATAAGGTTTTTGCTTTATGGTTCAACACATTGCTGTCATACAAGCACATTTTCTAACTACAAATTTAATGTCACATTTTTAGGGGGAGTGGGGGTTGGGGTCTCATGTAGCCCTGGCTAGTCTGGAATTAATTATGTAGCCAGTATTCATCCTGAACCCCTGATCCTCCAGTGTGTCACCATGATTGTTCTCTCTCTCTCTCTCTCTCTCTCTCTCTCTCACTCAACTGAGTCTCCCTCTATTGCCAAGTCTGGCCTCAAACTCTGAGTTCTGAGTTCTCCTGCTCCTATCTCCCTAATACTGGGATTACAAGAATTTGCCACCACTGCCAGATCCAATTTCACCTAAGTGAGCATTGTGCCTTTAACATTTGTAGTATAAGATCAGTAGGAATCTCTATCAGCCCATCATCTCTCTCTGTCTCTCTCTGTATTTTTGGGTATTGTTTTGAATCAGGGTCTCACTCTGTAGTTAGTCCTGGCTGGCCTCAAACTCAGCAATTGTCATGCCTCTGCCTCCCAAGTACGGGGATTAAAGGCATGAACATATGAAGACAGCTTTTACTTTTTTTTTTAAGTTTTTTGAGACAGGGTGTTCTATGTAGCCCTGTCCATCCTGGAAGTCACTCTGTAGACCAGGCTGGCCTCAAACTCAGAAAGGCTTTTAAATTTTTAAAAATTAAGTGTGTGTGTGTGTGTGTGTGTGTGTGTGTGTGTGTGTGTGTGCGTGCGCGCGCGCCCAAATATGTATGCATGCCACATTTGCTTGTGGAGTCAGAGGACAACTTTTGGGAGTTGTTTCTTTCTGACATGTGGGTCTCAGGGATCAAACTTGGGTGTTGAGGCTTTCTATGGTAAGTGCCTTAACAAACTTAGTTTGTTTTTGAGACAGGTTCCCACTGTGTAACCCTGGCTGGCCTGGAACTTGCTCTGTCAACCAAGCTTTGTTCTCTGTTCTTTCTTTGTTTTTTCTTTATTGAGGCAGGGTCACTTAGAGCTGTTCTTGCCATGTACTTGCTGATCTGGAGTTCCTGATCCTTCTGACTCACGTGCTACACTGCTTGTCCGGTTTACCAGCTCAAATACTTTTCCCCTTACAGTTTCACAGAGAAAAAAAATTGTTCACACTGTAGACCTTAATGATAGTACAAGTGTTTTTGTTGTTTGAAACAGGATTTGCTGTATGTCTCTGTACTCTCACTACGTAACCCAGGCTGGCCTTAGAGTCCCATCCACCTTCCACCCTCAACCTGTGCTGGGATTACATCTGGCTAATGTCGTTTCCTTTTCTTTCTTTCTTTCTTTCTTCTTTTTTGTTTGTTTGGTGGTTTTTGTTTTTGTTTTGTTTTGTTGTTTTGTTTGGTGTGGTTTTTGTTGTTGTTGTTTTGTTTTGTTTTGTTGTTTTGTTTCTGAGGCAGGCTCTCACTATGTAGGTTTGGCTGTCCTGGAACTCACTTTGCAGACAGACAAGGTTAGCCTCAAACTCACAGAAATCTGTCTGCTGCTGCCTTGTGAGTGCTGAGATTAAAGGCATGTTTCACTATGCCCAGCTTGTTTTCTTTCTTTATTACATCCAGAACTTTTGACTTTTACTTCAAGGAGGCTCTTTATAGCTTTTGTCTGGCATAATCATATTGCCAGCATCACCCTACTGATGTGCTTCGGGGCCATTATAAAACTTGAATGTAGCCACAACAACATAGGATAATCCTTCTATAAATAAGAAGGTTGTGTTCAGGTGTGGTCCAACACTCCTGTAATCCTAGCATTTGGGAGGCAAAGACAAGAGGATTGCTATAAATTCAAAGCTAGCCTGGTCTATGTAATAAGCTCCAAGCCATTCAGGACCACAAACTGAGACTTAGCTCAAAAAGCAAGCAGGGGAAATCTTTGACTGAGAGATGAGATGCTTATACAATGTGGATACGCCAAACAAAGGGTAAAACAGAGTGGACTGGCCAAAGAAATTGTCACTACTCAGAATGGTGTGCAATTTAAACCTTTTGAGTTGGTATTTTTCTGAAAATTTCCACTTAATATTTTCAGATCAAAACCAACCACAAAAAAGCTTAGAAAGTAAAAAGAAAGCCTACTGTGTTGCCTCTGTGAGTTGTGAAGTTCTTATTTTTTCTTGTTTTATTTTTAGTTTTAATTTCTCTTTCTTTTTAAAAATTTTTATTTTATATGCATTGGTGTTTTGCCTGCATGTATGTCTGTGTGAGGGTCTTGGAGTTACAGACAGTTGTGAGCTGCCACGTGGGTGCTGGGAATTGAACCCAGGTCCTTTGGAAGAGCAGCCAATGCTCTCATCCTCTGAGCCATCTCTCCAGCTCTCCCTTTTCTGTTTTTAGTTTATCATGACAGGGTCTCTTTGTATATCCCTGGCTATCCTGGAACTCACACTGTAGACCAGGCTGGCCTCAAACTCAGAGATTTGCCTGCCTTTGCTTTCTGAATGCTGGGATCAAAGGTGTAAGCCATTTCTGCCCAGCAAGTTTCTTAATAAAGTTCTTAATAAGGAAGGAAAGTTAGGTATGGTATCGTCAGCTGATACTATCAGCACTCTGGAGGCAGAGGCAGGAGCCGTGTTCATACCTCTATCTCAACAGTCAGGAGGCAGCAGGAGGATGGACCTGAGTCCTCTGAGGTCAGTCCATTGAATACCAGGCTAGTTAGGGCTATGTTGTGAGACCCTGTCTCAAAAAAAGAATTAGATAAGGGCGAGAGAGATGGCTCAGCAGTTAAGAGCACTTGTTCTGGAAAAGGTCCTGAATTAGGTTCCCAGAAGCTACCTGATAGCTCACAACCATCCATATTTCCCATCGATAACTCTAGTTTCGGGGAATCCAATGCCCTCTTCTGACTTCTCAGGCACCAGATGCACAAGTGGTACACATACATACTCACACACAGAATGCTCCTGGGTACTCTCAGGCTACACTCGGTGCCAGATGCAGCCCTTGCTTAGGTTGGGGGACAGGTCCTAGTACCCACGGAATATGCTCCATTTTCTCCTGTCTAATGAGGATGAGGTCAGCACTCACCCAGGAGCTGGAGAGCTTCTGGGACTAAGATGACCCAGGCTTGGGTCTTCCCACCCTGCCAGGAACTGAGTTCTGAACGTGAACATGCCCGGCTTTGTGCTCTGAGCTTGACCCCTACCCCATCATAGCTGAAGTAAGTTTCACTATCTCACCCTTCTGACCACCCTGCCCAGCCTCTCAACAGTCCTTAGCTGGATCATAGGCACACAAAGTGAGAAATTTTGAGAAATTTCTCAAATTTGAGAGTGAGGAAATTCGTGAGAAATGTACATTATTCCACTGCTCTCCAAGCTTGATCGGGGTGGAGCCCAGCAATTGGTAGTTATGCCAAGTTTTCCAGATGACACTAATGCCTGTCCAAGTTTCAGATCTACTATTTCACTCTGGTATAGGCCCTTCAAGGGATACATACGGTGACCTGGTCTATGTCCTTCTCTGTTACCAGTGCCTAGCCTCTGGCAGGCATGTAGTAAGTATTTGCTGGGGTTTGTTGATGTTGCTCAGTGGCAGAACCCTTGCCAAGCCTATACAAAGACCCAGGTCCAATCCCCAGCACCCAATGCATAGAGGAGAGAGAAATGGTAGATATATTTAATAGGTAGATTTATCCAATGCTTAACAACAATGATGATAAGGACAGCAACCAGCCATTGACTGAGGAATACCTGTGTGCCAAGCTCCGAGCTCAAAGATTTTGGAGGACGAAAACCCCAGCAGTCACCCTAGATAACATTATACAGTTAAACTGAGGCTCAGATGGGTCAAGCGCTTTACACAGGGTCACCTAGGCAGAGACCGGGAATCCTTGCGGGATGCTCAGAGCGGTTCCTGGAGCCCGGCGGCCGCGCGTGCGCTGTCCCGATAACGGTGGCTGAGAGTGTGGCGAAAGTGCAGCTGCGGAAGTGCAGCGAGGCCGGGGAGGAGGAAGCGAGCGCTGCTGCCGGGCTGCGGGGCTCCTGGCGCCATGGGCCGCCTGCACTGCACGCAGGACCCGGTGCCCGAGGCCGTGCGCGGCGACATGCAGCAGCTGAACCAGCTGGGCGCGCAGGTGGGCCTCGCCTGGGCGTGGGAGGGGCTCAGGAGTGGGCCGGCTCACTCGGGAGGTGGGGACCCCTGGGAACCAGATTTGTAGGCTCCTAGAGTTGGGAATGAGGGGGATTCCGAGGGGCCCCGGGTTGAACATTTTCGGGAGGGCAGGTCCACTGCAAGCCGGGTGTGGGTTATCAGTGTGGCCAGGCCTGCATGGAGCTCTGGGCCTGAGCCGGAAGAGGCTCAGACGGGACCGGTGACCACACCCCTTTCCAGTCCCGGAAAGGAATGGTGCATGCTTTCGAGGCCCCGTCCCTGTAGTAGAGCTCGCTCGGAATGCCACCTCCTGTCCAGACTGCGGGAATCAGCCAAGTCAAGGTGCCTGGGACCATCCCGTCCTCCTCCCGGAATAGACGGGTGATAGTGGCCCTTGTCAAATACCAGCATTTAGGAGGTGGCAGCAGAGTTCAGATCTAGCTTTCACTAAATATCTTGTTCAAGGCCAGCCTGAACTACATGAGACCTGTCAAAAGCCAAAATAGATAAATATATAACCCTTCAACCCTGTAAATGTACCGCCCACACCCTTAGGAATTGAAAACTATGCAGGGCAGAGTAGTGCTCACCTTTAATCCCAGCTTTCGGGGAGTCCGGCCGAGGCAAGTCGATCTCTGAAAATTCAAAACCAGTCTCTTCTACATAATGAATTTCAGGCCAGCAAGAGTTACATAGTGAGACCCTGACTCAAAATAAATAAGATCTATTGTTAGTACATGCCTGCCCTGCCACCACTTGAGAGACTGAGGCAGAAAAATTGCAATCCTGCTCCCTCTGCCTTCCAGCCTTCCAGGGCTAGGATTCTAGGATGCACCACTATGTCTGGCCTTGTTTGTTTCAGTCTGATTCCCAATAAATTGCCCAAGCTGACCTTGAATTTAGAATCCTTCCTCAGCCTCCTGAGTAGCTGAGATTACATACCTGTGCCAACAGGTCCTGCTTTTTTTTTTTTTTTTTTTTTTTTTTTTTTAATGTGTATGGGTGCCTAGCCTGCATGTATGCATGTGTACCACATGCATGCCTAGTTCCCACAGAGGTCAGAAGAGAGCATAGGATGCCTTAGAACTGAAGTTAGGGATGGTTTTGAACCATGTGGGTGCTGGGATCTGAACCTGAGTCCTCTGGAAGAGCAGCCAGTGCTCTTAGCCCCTGAGCCATCTCTCCAACCCTGGGGTGGGTGGGGTTCTCCAGCATAAAAAAAAAAAGTTAGTTTTTTTCTTATTAAACCATTTAACTATGTAGCCTACACTAACCTCAAATTCATGATCCTCCTGCCTCTGCTTCCCCAAGTGCGGGATGCAATTGCAGGCATGCACTACCTTGCCTGGCTGAGTTTCTGTTGTTTGTTCATATGAACAGTACTTTCCAGGGAGACAGCTCTATGTAAGCATGGATGGAACAGGTATGAACCACATACTCTTCTCAGTGGAATTCATGGTTCCGGGGCTGTGGTTGTCATTAAAATATCATTGGATGTACTGTATGACATCATCGTCCTCTAGGAAGATTGGGTCCCCAGACTTTGCAGATTAGGTAAATGAAGGGGTATCTCCTTTCACTGGCTGACATTTCCCTAACATTGAGCATCTCTTCCGCTGTTTGCTTTCCATGATAGTTAAGCTTTTGATAGGTAGAGATAGCTGATGAGCAATCCTGGGCAGGGCAGCAGTGTCAGAAGACTTACACAGCACAGACTTCCTGTGCACTTAACAGGAGTTAAGATGCTGTGAAGACAAAAAGCTATATCAAGAAATGCTAGGGAAGTCTGTGTTTCTTATCGAGGCTGCAAAACATAGGTGTGTGGTGCCCCCCAGGGAGTGTACAGTCACAGTAGATAAAACAGGGGAGACAGACCCTGCCTCAAAGGTGGTCATTATGGCACACACCTTTATTG